GGAAGCATGATTGTGTGTTAGCAGGGCAACCCCCTAGGGAATTACACTTTTATCTACCTAATAGAGAAAGATCTTTTAGGTCTGATATCAGAATAAAGTGAAATAATATTTTGAGTACCTGAAACAGCCCTGGACACATAGTAGGAGCTCAGTGAATAGTAACTATCAGTAGTGGTATTACCTACACATAATATAAACATTGTGCAATCTAAAAGCTGAAAGGGAACAAATCAGGATGAACATCTCGTCCATTGACTCTTAAGGCACATGGATATGAATCGAACATCTCGTCCATTGACTCTTAAGGCACATGGATATGAATCCACGTGCTCAGTTAAGGTTCATTTTAGCTCTAGTTTGTGATTCTGTACTTCCATTATTAGAAGCCAGCAACCATATGCCCTCACTTCATGGCAGCAGTTCAAGGGGAGGAGGGGTGCTTGGTTTAGGCTTTTTGCCAAAGCCAGATACTTCAGATTGACACCTTTAAAAAGAATCAGGTAGAGAATGCCAAGCAGGCAGCCTAGGCTTCTATATTTAGGACTTGCTGTTGCCATTTGTATTTTCATTGGAAGAAAACCTCTAATTCAGCCTGCAGCTGGTGTCATGAATCATTCTAAGGTGTGGTGCGATTTTGACTAGAAGCTGGACTCGAGAGGCTCCGTGCGGGTTTGGAAGCAGTTACACTCTTGTGGTTTCCATAACCTTTTTTATGAGTGTGTTACTAAAGAAACGTGAGCTCTTGGCTTTTCAATTACTGTAGCTTACCCCTGTGAGTTTCATACACATTGAGTCATCGCGTCTACAGGTGACTGATAATCATCTGCACCACTCAAGTTACCGTAACTCAAGAGAGGAGGGGATCTGATGATTGTAGGTTGTGTGCACGTGAAGCTCTCTGGCTCTCCCATCTTCTTAACAAGGAACAGTGTTCTGCATTAACCACAGAACTCAGTCGCCTATTTCCACTCATCCACAAGTTTTATTTTCCTCTTAATATTTGGCCTCTGACAACTTTAGTACTCAGCTGTTTTCCAACATAAGCTGCAGATGGTATAGACTATAAAAACTGTAGACCAAGATCAGTAAGTCAGGCTACTGAGAAAAGGATAAAAGCAGAGTTTGTGATGTGCCTGCCCTGCTCCACCCCACCCAGAGAATGTTCTGGACCCGATTCTTTAGGTAAGAAGATAAAAGTCCCAGGTTTGGAGGGAGTAGGGTAGACTTACTCATACTGGAAAACCATCAACTTTGAAAAGATCAAGAGAAAAAAGCTCATAGCCCTTTCAGGGGAATAAGTGTTAATGTTGATTTTGGGTTTCTCCATCTCATTCTTCCAGACTGTTTTGGTCAAAGATATATCCAATCAGAAGCTGAATAAGAACCCTTTGTTACTTTGTCAAAACGTGCTTTTCTGTTGCTTATTATTGAATTGCCAACGCAGGATGTTTTTCTTGCATTTTTTTTCTCTTTCTCATTTGTTTATTTAGTAACTATCACCTTGGCCTTAAAATAGTGGGGATGCTAGGGACATTGGTCTCTCTCTGTTCATTTTAACTCATCGGTATTGTGTTAAAAACCAAACTCGTTGCCATTTAGTCAGTTCCAGCTCATGTTGGCCATAAGGTTTCCAGGGCTATAAATCTTAACAACAGAAGGCGGCTGCCCATCTTTCTCCCTCAGAGCTGCTGGTGCATTCAAACCACTAGAGACAGGCAGTGTTTTAGTTAGCACAATTGAATGCACACCTCTGCTGCTCAGGAGCATATAGTGGGTTACTGCTTGTTGAAATCCAGACCTATGGTTGTTCATCCACAATACTATCTGAATTTGGTCTCCATCATATTTCTGGATTTTTTTCATTGTTTATCAAAATGTGGAATGCACATTTTCAGGAAGCACACTGGACCTTTAAAAACTTGGTTCCATGGTAAGAGCCTTATTTTCTTTTTCAGTCATCTTTTCAATCTTTATTATGCCAAGGAGAAATATTTCATTTTCTGCCTCTCATTTCTAACACTGATCTCATTAATCTGTGCTTTTAACAAGTGTTCTACTTACTGTAGTGGCTGATCAGAATTTAATAAATTTGTTTCCTTTATTTTTCATAACTTCCATCTATTTATGGCAGATGACTCTGGTTTGTGTTTACGTTGGTGATAAAATTTCCTTAATTGTTTCTTTTAATTTTACAGAGGAAAAAATTAAGACTGATTTAAACTAAAATAGCAAAGAAAAACCCTCTTAACGTTTACCAAATGCTTTTTATGTGTTCTTTGTGTTTCAAATGACCCCACAAGGTAGATGTGATAGACAACACTGAATTTAACTTGCCCAAGGTCATACATTTATTTAGTAACTGACAGAGGGAAGTGACATCAAACCTAGCCTATCTGATTCTGGAGCTCAGTCTTTTCTGCCACACCACCCTGATGTGTGGATAACCAGAATGTGAAGGAAAGCATGAGTGAGTGAAGTTTGAGAAATATTTTCTTTCAGACTCCTTTTGTAATCTCAGCCAGGCTTTTTACTCTTCTCTGTTCACGAAGTGTATTCCCATCACTTTTCTTTCATTCAGGCTCCTCTTTAAATGTTGTTGCTGTTAGTTGGAGCCAGGTTCACTCCTGACACCCGGTAACCCATGCACAGCTAACTGAAATGCTGCCTGACCCTCCATTATTTCCATATTGGGTTGTGGCTCAGATTGTTACAATGCATAGCTTTTCATTGGCCGGTTTAAAGAAGTTGGTAGCCAGACATTTCTTCTTTATAGGTCTTAGTCTGGAAGTTCTGTGTAATCTGTTCAGCATCAAAGCAAAACAAACCTCCATGCGGAGGAGGTTTACTACAAATGAGTAGTGTTTGCCCATAAGGTGCATTGGCTAGGACCTGAGCATGGATCTTCTCCCTGGCAAGTGAGAATTCTGCCACTGAATGACCCCTGGCCCCTTCTGTCATTTAGATGTATGAAATCTGAAGCCTAAAATGTAAATCGTAGAACAATTTATTAGTTCATCTGGATTTTCTTAGAATGGTTTCTTTTCTATACCTAATCCTACCTTTTTTTTTTCATTTTCTTGTATTTAAATTTATAATTTATACCACATTCTTGCCCTTGTGTATTACAGTTCTTTTTACAAAATGTATGTCACTATTTGCTTGAATCCTGAAACATGGAACTATAATAAAAGCAAAGGCCTTTATATAACATATTCCATTTTACTTTTGACATCATTTTACCCCAATTTCATATGCTCTTTATTATCCAGTTGGAACTGACTCATAGCTGACCCCCCATTGGGTTTCCAAGGCATTAAATTACATGAGAGAGGATTAGCCACTTTTACTCCTTGCAGCTGCTGGTGGATGCAAAGCACCAGACTCCCCATAGACTAGGCCACCAGCTATTCAGGTCTTACTTGTCTCCCACTAGGGAGCTCTGGTGGACTCGTAGTAAGAAGCTGCACTACAATCCCAAAGGCACACAGTTTGAATCCACCAGCTGCTCAATGAGAGAAGGATGACGAGTCTCCTCCCCTGCAATTTACTACCTCTGAAAATCTCTGAAAGATCAGCTTTAAGTCAGTTCCAATTTGATGGCAAACAACAATTTCTCTCTTACTACACTGGAGATAGGGTCACCCCTGAGTTGGTTCTGATTCGATGACAGTGAGAGAGAGGTTGGAGATACCTCAAAATAGGAACTGGTTATTCTAATCCTTTTATTTCTTGTATGCTTGTTCGTTTTCATTGATGTATCTTTTATTGCATGGCAATAAAAATTTTGGAACTACAGCATGCTTAGAAAAGGTAAAATATAGAAGAAAAGGATACAATTCAACAAAAAATATCTCTGGAATCCAAGGTCTAGAATGAAAAAGCATCAGCATAACTTTGCCTCACTTCTAGCACTTGCTACATCTTTTGTGCTTTCTCTTCATCTGCCATTGCTGCAGCCCCTGTTCTTGCCTTTCCTGTGGCCAGAGAGCCTCTGTTTTCTAACACACAACACCCACACACCCTGAATGTAGCTAAATTCTATTTTCACAATTTCTCAGCAGCTTGACATAAGAAGGAGAGGGTGACCACAAATAAAATTTGTCAGTTAAGTGTGAGGTAGGTCCTAATGACAGATCTCACCTATATATAATCACAGCACATTTTTTAAATAAAAGAGTAATGAGGAATATTCTCAAACTTTCTTCTATGTTAGAAGCTCTTTTACTAGTCTGGTGACTTGTGTGTTCTGAGAGTGAGAAGTTGGAGTCTTTGGGGTTATAATCTCTACTTATAAGCTTGTGGAGGACGATCATTACACATCCTCATGTTTATAGCACTTCCATCCCCTGACTATCTAATATGGCAAGCTGAAATTAGCAAACACAAAGAGGTTAGAAGTTGAGCATTTTAAGAGTTCATCATCGGGGAGCTCTGGTGGCCTAGTGGCAAGGAGCTGCAACTACAATCCCAGAGGCGCATGGTTCGAATCTACCAGATGCTCTGCCGGGGAAGGAGGGACAATCTCCTCCTGTACCAGTCAGATCTGATTTGACGATACACTCACACAAAAATAATAATAAAATAAAAACTTTAAAAAAGAATATAAAAAAAAAGTTCATCATCAGTGTATGAGACACTAAAGCTCCTGTCAAACTAGGGACTCCCTGATTCTACTATTTTTTTGTTTCTTTTTCCTCCTTTGCATGGGATCTGTCTCTGATATGTGCAATGGGCCCACTATGCATTGTAGGTCCAAGTTAATGGCACCGCTGATCCTTCCTGCTGCCTGTTTAATATATTTTGACTGTGTAACTATGTTGCTAACAGCCAGCATCTCCTGAGGCTTCAGCATCATATGGAACCATTCTGCTTAAGAGGAATGTTCTTAAAAAGGCAGCATACCCTTCATGATTTATTTTTCTTCTTTGTGCTTTTTTTAAGAACTCTCAGTGCTAATTTTTAAAATCTGTCTTTGTAACCCATTCTTACTTCTGTTTCAGGTGAGAAGCGCCACTGCTTTGACACCAGCTATAATTCTAGCTATATGTATGAGAAAGAGAGTGAGATAATACAAACAAGAATGATGGACCAAACCATCAATAACGCCATCAGCTATCTTGGTGCAGAAGCCCTGCGCCCCTTAGTCCAGACACCACCTGCTCCCACCTCAGAGATGGTTCCATTTATCAGCAACATGTACCCCATCCCCCTTACCCGTGCTGAGATGCCTAATGGTACCCCCCAGGACCTGGAGAAGAAGAATATGCACCTGTCAGAAAAGAACATGCCTTCTGAAAGAGGCCTCTCCCCCAACAACAGTGGCCATGACTCCACGGACACTGACAGCAACCACGAAGAACGCCAGAATCACATTTACCAACAAAACCACATGGTCCTTCCTCGGACCCGCAATGGGATGCCACTCTTGAAGGAGGTCCCCCGCGCTTATGAACTCCTCAAGCCCCCGCCCATCTGCCCAAGAGACTCCATCAAAGTGATCAACAAAGAAGGGGAGGTGATGGATGTGTATCGTTGTGATCACTGTCGTGTCCTCTTCCTGGACTATGTGATGTTCACTATTCACATGGGCTGCCATGGCTTCCGCGATCCTTTTGAGTGTAACATGTGTGGTTATCGAAGTCATGATCGGTATGAGTTCTCCTCTCACATAGCTAGAGGAGAACACAGAGCCATGCTGAAGTGAACATCAACCTTGAGAATGTTCCTGAGTATGCAACATCATTTTAAGGAGAAGGGAAAAAACCAATCAGCTACTATAGATGTCTCGTTCTCCTTTGTGGAGTAAGGACATAGAGTCTAAAAACTCACTGTCAAAACTAACTTAGTTCCAACTCTGTTCCATAATTCTTTTAGAAGATCCAGAAGGTCATGTTCACAAGGACAGCCAGAGAAGCTCCTTCATTTAGATACTGTTTGCAAGCCTGATCTGTTGTTACTTTTGTGAAGCCTTTGTTTTCTTGTTATTGTTGTTGTTAAGTGCCATTGAATTGGAACCAACTCACAGCTGACCCTACAGTGTGGGTTTTCAAAGACTGGAACTCACACAGGAAGAGATTGCCCATCTTTCTCCCACAGAGCAGCTGGTGGATTTGAACCATATGCCTTTGGGTTGACAGTGCAACTCCTTACCCACTAGAGCACCAGAGCTCCCTGTTTTCTCATTAGACTTGAATTTTATTATATTTAAAAACCAGTGAAGTATTTGGTCATTATCTCTTATAGCAGTAGAATGACTCGCCATCCAGTGAAATTTGTTGCCAATCTGAATAGCTCCCTGGTTACACGAGATTGTATGAGATGTTCTTTTTGTGATACATCAGACATATCTGAAAAAAGCTCAACTCCACAGAAAGAATGAACTGACCAGCTGACATTGCTGGTAGGCCTTGTCCTTCTGCATTTAAACACAGAGCTGAAGGTTGCAGTATAATCTCCCCATCCCAATCCATAGTTGAAGGAAAAACACAGTAATTAATGTCTTATCAGTAACTGAAGACCCTGTTCTCCAAGCATCAGAAATCTGCTTACTGCCAATACAAAGGTGAAAAAACTATTTTTATCTACAGATACTTCTGCTTCTAGCCTTTATCCTCTCATCTTTAGTTAAAAACTGCTCTGAGTCTAACCAAACATCTGTAGAAAAAATTCCAAAAGAACCAGTGGTCTTAAATGTAGCCTGTTCCTGAAAGTCTCGGAAGTTCTCCACTGTGGATTATGTTGTTGTTATGTGCCGTCAAGTCGCTTGCAACTCATAGTGACCCTATGTACAACAGCCCTAAACCCTGCTCTGTCCCTTGCCAATCTTATTGACTCTGGCATGCCTATCTCCGTTACCCCAGTGACAGAATCAATCCATCTCATTGAGGGTCTTCCTCTCCTGTGCTGTCCCTCCACCCTCCCAAACATGACATCCCTCTCCAAGGACTGATCCCGCCTTGCAGCATGTCCATAGTATATCAAACGAAGCTTCAGAATCCTTGCCTCCAAGGAGCAGCCTGGCTTGTGGACGATGGCAACCATTTATTTTTTTTTTAAATCAAGATTAGCATAGTAGGAGTTTGACAGGGAAAATGGTTTAGCCATTACAGCTGGAGAGAAAGGAAAAAAAGCTACTTGAAAGTCTTGGTCTCTTTCATAGAGTGTTGGTAAACAAAGCCAAAGCATTCTTACCCGTGGTTTGTTTGGGTTGGTTTTTTTTCCCAAGAAATATCAAAGTATTCAAAAAGTACCCTTTAGTCTCCTCCCCACAGGAGAGGAAGTGGGGTAGATGCCATGAGTAGTGATAGATCAGAACTGAACTTGATGAGAGGGGGGCACCTGTGCTGAGACTTTGCCTTCATCAGGCAGACCTCCCCCAGCCCATTTTAAATGGGGTTAACTGTAGTCAAAGAAGATTCCTTCAAAATTTGACCTTGAGTTTGCAGGTGTAGTGGTCATCTTTATCACTACTAATGAGGGACCTGCTATAAAGGAGAAATGGTGTGATAGTTGTAAAATAAGACTGGAGTCAATGAGGGTCACAGAAACTGTTCCTTTCATATTTGCCACTATTAGCTTTGTGACTTTGAGCAAATCTCTTACCTCTTAAAGCTCCATTTCTTCAACCATAAAATAAAGAATTGGATTTAGAGGATCGCTAAGTTCTCTTCCACCTTTAAATTAAACTAATGTGAGTATGCAGTAACCACAAATTACTTTTTAAACCTTTTAATTTATGGGTATTAACCAGAAGAGTATGTGTATGAATATGTTTCATGTTTCTTTAGTGTGAAAATGGTAGTGTATTCAGTTTTTCCTTTAACTACTGGGTTATGCATTTGTAGAGAATGCTGGAGGGGAACAAAAAACAGGAAGATGTTTTGATCTTGACCCCAAATGCTCACAGATTGGCACCTGCGGCTGCCTGCCAAAGCCTCCCCTCCACCATTCTTGAGAACTTGTGTTAGGAAAACACATTCTGCTTCTAGGAACAACATCTTAGATGTCATTTACAAATTAGAGGCAGCTTTGTGAATGTTTCTACCAAGAGCCAAGAATCCCAAATTCCTGGTAGAGTAGCACTTTTCTGTCTCCACCTTGGTATTTCTGGAGGGCTGAAGTTAGGCTCACACTCAGCTCGTTTATGTGCTGCCAGTAGTGAAAATGGCCCGCGTCAGACTGCACAAATGGTTTGTCCTCCTTTGTAGTATGGTGGCTGTCTCCTGGAGAAAGGTTTTCTGAAATTCCATGGCAATAATCCCAACATGTTTGCAGTTTCAGCTAAGGAACTAGCAGTATTTTGCTGTGTAGACCTCAGTATATTGCTATTCTGTGAGACTAGAGCCCCAGCTATGCCAGGTTGCTTATTCCTGTTGCCAAAGAAGAGTTGCTTTTTCTGTTCTGATAATGTCACACATCCTGATGACTCTCTGAAAATTGGGAGAAAAGTAGCTTGGAAGCAGGGAGTGATTCATAATGTTTGGGAAAGGGATCATTTCTCCCATCAGTGAAGAACTTTCACTGAAGAAATCAACTTCTGTGTCTCAAAATGCTGAATTTAAGGCCCACCCCACCAATGTGAGGATTCCTTTTGTAGATAGAGCCCTCATTTTCCTTGTCACTAATTGCTAAATGGTTTCCGTTTTTCGGTGATGAACCACTTGCAAAGGCTGCACTTGGTCATATTCAGAGCTTGGATTGGGGCACATCCACTTCAGAGAATATTTTTATATAGAAACTCCTCACTCTAAAGCCTTGAGTTTAAGACAGGATGATATGCACTGGTGACCATCACACAGGTAAAAGATTCCCTCTGTACTTCTAATTAATGCCCTCTCCCTTAGTGGGAGAAGAGGAGAGGACATGGCTCCACAGGGAAGAGTGGAGGCAGGGCATCTGGCCCAATAGAGCAGTAACGTTTGTAGCCTCTTCAGAGAGTACATTGACTTTCTCATCCAGGAACCTTTTAAACCATGAGCCCAGTAGGTCATCTTCCTTTCTCTGCAGCCCTCTTGTTAGACAAGCCTGCCACCACATACTCAGACACACTCTAAGAGGCAGTCAAACCCAGGGAAGCATCCCTTGCAACCAGAGTCAGAGAGTGAGAAAAGTAAGAGAACCAGTTCTTCAAATGCCTGCTTATCAGTATTTGGAAGTGTTGCACAAGTACTTATGCTGGCAGAAAATGAAGTAGAATTGCCCAGGACCTTCTACAACCCCCCCAAAAATGATATACAAGAAAAGATGTTAATAAATCAACCAATCTTTAGATTTCTTAAACCTTTCTTCCAAGAAGACATTTGCTTTCATACAGATGAACTAATCTGATCTTTTTTACCCATTTGGAGCTGTTACTGACTCAGCTTCTGACTTTCACAGTGACAAAATTAAATGCAGTGTTTAACATTTTGCTGGGTCCATGCTCATAGTGGCCCAGATAGAAAATGGCATCAGATTTTTTTGCATTAAAGAGAAAGGTTTAAAAGCAAAACTTTACTCATCTGTAGAACTGTATTGTAAAGAAATTTCATGATCATGGATTATAAATAGCATCTATTATATCACTATTCTTATACACTCATCTGCCTGCCTCCCACTGCCTGCCCAAGAATGTGATATTTACAATGTTTTAAGGAGAAAAATAGTACTTCTAATATTTATTCTCAGGGTAGATGACAAGACTATTCTGGAAATGTTTCTTTAAAGTCTCGCTTTAAAATATGAGGGAAATGGAAAGAATTTGTTCTTGAAAACAATGTATTCAAATTTTGTAAATAAACTAGGAGAAAATTTTTTTAAAAAATACCCCACAACTCCCAGAGGAAGTGTGGTAACTCCAGGCCACTTCAGATTTGTGAAATATCTTAGACATCTTTGAGGACTCAAAGATGTAGAATGACAATTTGTGAGCTCAAAAGAAAATAAAGGAGAGTGAATAATGAATATTTTGCCCTAGAAAATAACATCCATAGCACTAGAGTTAGATGTACAGTGATGTCTTTTAGAGACTTGTAAGTTCTTTTTGTGCTCAAAGTATAGTGTAAAGAACTTCTAGGGGCAGGTTACCAAAGACCAGACTTATTTGGGATTTGAATGCCTCTAAAGAGGACAAAGAACACTGGTGACACCATGGGGTCAGCATTGAGCTGCTAACTGATAGTTGGAGCCCATAGGAGAAAGAAGAGACTATTTGCTCCTGTAAAGATGTATACCCCCAGAAATCCTACAAGGCAGTTCCATCTTATACGGTCACTAGGAGTTGGAATAAACTAGAGCAATAGGTTCGGGGTCTTGACTTGGTAAAGAAGACAATATTGAACTGAACCTAAAGGTTAGGTACGAGCCACCCTAGGATAGGATTGGATTCTCTGAGGCTGTGGAACTCAGTAGTTCCGAGAATAATCAGCCAGAGTCTTGAACTGCTAACTCTCCTCCCTGTGACTTGGGAGAATCTGGAGGAGGTATGGGCTGTAAATTTGTATGAAATCATAGGATAACACTAGATGTACCTCTAACTTACCCAAGCTATATGCAGTACGGTAAATAGGCTTTTGTATTTGAGGTAGTTGGAGGCAAGCTTCATCTATTAAAATAGTAGACTGTCTTACAGGATTGTTGAGTTTCTACTTGAAATTGAAATGTGCCTGAAAAGTGCAAGGACATAATGATAGCTATCTCCCAAAGATGTGAGGTTTTATATCATTT